TTTCAAAACTGAATAATTTAAATTAATAGTAGTGGAATGTTTGGTGAATTATCATTTATATTAATTTATTAGTAAAACGATGTATTATATTGTTAATTTGATGGCAAAAATAATTATGTATAAGACAATAACTTTTTGATTTTATATATATATTTTTTTTTTATCTACAACTAATATTTACAAAATATTTATAAGATATGCATTTTGAGCTATTTATATCTATTTTCACTGTTCTAAGGTGATCTGTCATTGACTTAAGTTACTTAAATTGAAGTATATGGAAAATAATATCATATCATAATTTAATATGATATATTATTTGTAGGATACATTTTTGAAAAGTTAGTTCAATATCAAAATAATACACAAATAAAATACTAATAAAAATATGATAATGCATATTGAAATTTTCTTGAAAATATTGACTGATAGACCGTCTTAATTATTTTGAATTAGTATTTAACATACTATTAAAACTAGTAATGTTAATTTAAATATATTTAATATTAACATTACTAGTTATATAATAATATATAATATATCATATCCTTAAATGATAAACTGTGGTATCCTTTAAAGCTAAAGTTTGAATCGTACTTTTAAGGAGTATTCAAAAGAAATTAATCGGAATCAGTAATTACCTGCCAGTTAGCTTCAGGAAATGTATAATATGGTCTATAATTAAGCCACTATAAATATGTTGATAATTTCATTGTGTTATATTTTTATTAGTATATTAATTTATATTAATTGATTAGTAATATTAATTTTATTATTTGAATTTTTAAATTTCAAGTACTGGATTAAATAATTTAACCTTCAATGAGTATATAAAAACTGAACAATACCGTTTTATTATCACTAGAAAATATATAAACAGCAATACGTAACTGAACGAAGCATACTTATGTTCTCACACATTGATAATTAGAAATAGTTAAATAATAGCATCAGTCATGATCATTAAGTTTTACTTGCTTATTGAATTTTAAGTAATTTATTTATTTATTAAATTTTAATTTTAAATTTAAAACTTGGCAAACATAAAAAAATGGAACTAGAAAGACTTAGTGTATTCGCCTTAATGTATGTGCACGAAAAAGTATTGAAAATAATATATATATATATATATATACTTAATTAATAATGTAGTAAGATGGTATTCTTAATCATTGTTTTTAGTACTTGATACAGGTTAAAAATAGAAGAATTGATAATATTTTCAATAACATTTTAAGATCATTATACATATTTAAATCGGACATAATCATACTTATTTTTTTTTTTTTTTAATAGCATAAAAAGTATATAATTTTATCCTCCCTCAATAAAACTAAGTTAGATAAGCCCCTGAATATAAACATTTTATCGGTCTATTTTAATTTAAATATATAATTTTAGTTCATTAAAAAGTCTTTTCCTTTTGTAGTTTATGATTTGCTTAATGGACATTACACACTAATGCTTTTGAGGGCGTAAACTTTCTTATTTATGGTTGTACAGTTATGTTTTCTATCCTATGGTCATTAAATTATGATCATTTATATTAATTGATGTGGACAATTATTATACATCCATCATGTGTTTTCAAGAAAATGTTAATGATATATGTGGGAAAAGGTGGTCCTTGCTTACCAGGGCTCGCTGCCTAGATGAATACGGTGGGTAATTATTGAACCTCGAACCGCTTTTGTTGCTATGGTGAGACACTTCGCTGAACGTCTTTCGACCACAACCGCTCAGAACGACTGACACAGGAACGCCTTGCATGCTCCCGCAATCGTCTATAGATAGAATTAAAAAATAATAATATTATATGATATAACTTATTACTTATTATATTATTAAATTATATAAACAAATATTTTATTATAATCATAAAAGTATAATAACAGTAAACTATTATGAGTTATGTCTCCGCATCACATAATTCATGATTCAAATGTAAGTAATTGTAAAATACAATTTAAAACTTTAAAACTTTTGAAACCGTACTTCATTCTACATTTTTTAGTTATCCAACGTGATTACTGATTATATTATTATTATTTTTTAAATTAATATTTTCCAACGCATACTACAATATACTTGAATAGTTAGTTGCACTCGCCTTTACAGGTGTTTTATAAAAAACAATAATTTAGTTTTATATTTTACTTGCTATAAATTTATTTTCCATAGTTTATAATCTTATTTAGAGTTTTTAAACATAAATTTCTAAGGTTACGAGTGAACATTTTTTGTATTTTTTTATTAATAAATTAGTGTTCATATTATTTTACAATGTTATCGACCATTGTATCTTACATAATACTTTATATTATGAGTTGCTGACATACATACATAAAAAATAACAATATTCTTGAATGTTGTATTTAAAGTTAAATTTAATGTAGGTACCAATAGAGAATAAAAGTTTTCATTATTTATTGTGTGCGCTTAAAAAAAAATATATATATATTATATTATATACCTGCGCAGCCTTGGCAGTCATTATTACTGGAACAACAGCTATACCCACTTTCAGAATACACATTTTGATTGCGGTTATAAATATTGGCTGAAGCATAAGCTGTGTCATCAGAATTTCGTCTCAACTAAAAAAAAAAAACAATTTATTATAAACTCTTCATAAATTTTAATTACATAGTTTTTAAATAGATAACGTTTTATAATAATATGATTAATTTATATTTAATATTATGTTTTTTTTTTTTTTTACATTTCTAGAACTTGAATTTGATACCAATGTGGTCGTCGCATAAGGGGCTGGGGACGACAATTCACGGTCCTTTAAAAATGTACTCATTGTATTTGGATTCACTTCTGCGTAGTCAGCAATTTCAGGTAACAGTTGTTGACTAGAATCTTTCTCATTGCTATCAATATCATGATGTATCCTGAAAATATAGATTTATAATTATTTTTTGATGAAAACAATATGAATTTAAATATAATAAATACCAATTGGGCTTATGGCACGAGTTTGCATCGATGAACAAACACCGTTGACTGTTCGAGACACTGTGTTCGGATTGCAAAAACGCCGCCACTTGTCCTCGGTGAGATGCGTCTAGAGTAGTTTTGAAACCAGACGAATAGGACAATTTGTTGGCAGGATTTAATGTATCTAAATAAAATACGTGGTTAGTTAATACTTAAACAAATATTGCATACTCTGTGTTCAAAAAAAAATAAAAAAATACCTCCTAAGTGTGACTTTTTAGCTCCCAACTGGCGATATCTAACGAAAAGTACAGCGGCTAGTAATATGACCATTAATGTAATTATTCCAGCCAACAACAGAATAAACCAGGGTTCAGCTACAAATTCTTTGATTTCTTCGTGATCAATGACTGCGTCGTTAAATTGACTAAACAATTTAATAATATTATAGTTAATATTATAAAAAATAAAACAAATAAAATAAAGGTTTTCGATAAAATCCAAGTGAATAGTGTTCATACTTTATTTGGTTCATCGAATCCGTTGGTAGAATTATTGAATCCGTGTACGGACCAAATCCGATTTTTGTTGCTGCCGCAATCATGACTTTATATCGCACACCCGATGTGAGGTTGGTGAGTAGCAGAGTGGGAGTACTAGCACTAACTGTTACATTACTTAGTACGTCCCAACTGGCACCACCTTGTATGACTACCTGGTAACTGATGATAACACCGTTGTGCGAGTGGTCTGGCGGTGGGTTCCATTTCAAGTATACCGCACTGGAGTTGTAAGCAGTTGGTTCGACGTGTTGAGGTGCTAGAGATGGGCCTACAACAATGAAATTCAAGTTTATGAGTGCTTAAAAAATAATTTAAATCTCAAATAAATAATTGTATTGTTCTTACAGTCTTCAAGAGTTTTTGTAGTCCTGGAATTTGACGGTCGACCTTTGATGTGTTTGTAGAATGGCACCAAGAAAAACAGATATGTGACGGACGGTTTTAGTGTGTTAATCACGTACGCTCCCGACAGTTCAGTTGTGTTAGACAAGATTTTCATGAACGTGGTATTTTGACCAGTCATGTTTTTGCTACGATAGTATAAATAAAAACCTTCCAAAAACTCTCTGTTAAGAATCTGAAACAATGAAATTATTTAAGTATTAATAACACATTTACTGATAATATGTTTTCTGGTCTTAAATTGACCCGATTGGTAAGTTGACTGACTTACCTCCCAGAAAATTTTTATCGAAGTCGAGCTGACCGTTTTTATGTCGATGAGGTCTACGATATGGCCGCCGAACAAAGTAGACTTAGCGATGGACATATCGTGAGAAAACGTTAAGCTCTGACGGTATTCTGAGGGCAATTTGATTCGGTTGGACAAATGACTAGGCGCAGAAAGGCCGTGCGAATTTTCAGCGCGCACCACAAACAAGTAGGAATGGCCAGGCTTTAAGAAAGATTGTGTGAAGTGAGTGTAGTGCAATCTCCGGACCAATGTTACCCATCCAACGTTCTCGACACAAGCGAACATTTCCACCTAAAAATTAAAAAGCTGATGTAACAAATTTATCGTATCAACGGTATTTTACATATTTTAATTTTAAAATGCATTACTCCTACAAAGGAACTTATATCTGGGACTTCAATATCTCCTAAAATTTATATAAAAGTACCAAATAGTAATTTGGACGATATAAAATGCCTCGTTAAAGGTAGTATACGAAAACGCCTAGCTTACCTGATAACCTAGTAGCGGTGATGATCCGACCTTGTTGCTACGGCCCCACGATAGCGTAACAGCCGTGTCCGTGTGGTTGACGACAACGGGAGTGCTCGGAGCACCAGGAAACGTTGACGTATCCGGTGACCTGAAAAATCCGACGTTAGGATTTTTTGGCGATTCCATTTTAAGTTCGGCACTCCACGTGGCCTTGCCATTGACCGAAGACGCTACACATGTATAAATGCCGTTATCGCTCTTTTGTAAATCTGAAAATTTTAAGTGGTTATATTAATTAACTTCCTATCTGCACTAACTGTATTTCACTTTAAAATTGATAAGTTTTTTAATTAAACTTAAATATTCGATACAAATATGATCATGTTGTATTTGAAATTTCAATTAATTGTTTTATTTTAGATTTACATAAATCAAATAAGTACTTTAAGCGAATTATTTTAGTTAGGACTCGCATTAATAAAATTGTGTTTTTCGAAAATAGTATTTAAAAATTTTAATAAATTATTGGCAAGAGTAAATTTTGCACAGTGAAGTTTTCCGTGTATACACGAAGATACTCACTCATGATTTGTAGTGTGCCGGATTCAGTGATGTTGATCCTACCGATATCCATTGACAACGGCGAATCGTCCTTGTACCACGTGATCACGGGCTGAGGATTTCCGATTGCTTTGCATATAAGATTACCAATCGAACTGTATGGTAGCGTTTGATTGGCTGGTCCGTATTCGATGATTGGTGGTAAGGACTCATCGTACGCGGCTGCTGTCACTGTCAACGTGGCTCGCCACTCATCTGAGCCCGCTTCGTTGATTGCTGAACACATGACGACTAGCTGATCGTGTTGTTCTTTTCTGACGTTCTGTAAAAAATGTATAACAATGAAATTATAGTTACGATAAAATATGAATAAATATTACGCCAAACATGGGGCACGTTTAGAATATCATTCGGGATAATCCCGTTGACGAGTTCTCCGTTTTGGATACCACATCGCTTGACGTAACACTAACATAAACCATTTTCTGACTTACATATACGACCAGTGTGGACACGGAATCTTTCGTGTTTTCGGCGTGAAACTCGTTCCAGCTCTCTTCGGGGAATAGCACAGTGTCGTTGTCCTGCAAAGACCAGAATATTGTCGGTATGGGGTTGCCTCGAACACCGCACTCGAATACTGCATTACTGCCGGCTGATACGTGTGTGTCTGCAGGCCTTTGGGCGATCAATGGAACAGCTGAAATTGAATAAAACACAACCGTTTTTACTATGAACATGAAAATAAATTACAACAGTATATAACAGATATAGCTTTTGATCATCACTAAAATTTAGTATACAACATATTAATATTTATTATAAATAAATAAAACGAATATGTTTTTACTAATGTATAATATATCCAATCGCTATATTCCATATCGTCCCTATTCCATTTAGTTTAATGACTTCGTAGAGTAACCCATGTCTATCAATAGAATTATTTTATGAAATCGTTCAATTAAAAAAAAAAAAAAAAAAAACAATTTCTAGCGCAAGTCAAACAGGAAATTTGGTTTGCTTCTATTTCCCTTTAAAAGGATTTCAAGTTGTTTGATTGGGGTAAAAGCGTGTATTCAGAATCTCGTAATATTGAGGGTAAAGGGTAAATACTTATTTGAAACAAATTAATCAAACATCCTTTGATATATATTATAGTATTTACTCATTAATGAATTCGATGCATAGGCAGTAGACACTAGAAAAAATGTATTTCATCATATACGACACGAAAAAATTAAGAATTAACTATAGATAATCAGTGATCTTTTTAATTAATTTAACTAATTGTGTAGAATAATAAATTGGTTAAAAAAATATAGAAAAAAAACATTTTACTTGATGGAATATTTGGCAAGCTATGTATAATATATTAAATGTCATTGTATGTGAAATGCTTAGTTATCGTCATTGCCATACTTTTTTCGTGAGAAATAAATCTGTAGCATTTCGAATACTGGATAAAAGCATTTCAGCGTTTTACAGAGTTATATAGAACAAAAAAAACTTAAATTCTATTATCCGATTTAGAAATTTTATTAAAAGTTGTTAAAAAAACTTTGTTTTATTTTTTTATATACAGTATATAATAAATATGCACTTTTATATAGTTGTACTTACATAATGTAAAATAGTATGATTTCTAAAATGATTACTAAAATGATATTACAATTTTTAATAATATAAAGCGTTATGTTCTTGTTCGTGTAAATAGTACATAATTTAATTATTATGAATACATTTAAAATAGTATTTAGTATAACAATACAGCGTGAGTCAATAACACTGCAAAATAAATGATAATTCAAACGACATTTATTATTGTGCATACATGACATAATCATATTATACACTGATTTTAAGTTAAACAAATGTGAAAATAATTGGAAATTATTATAAAATAAAAAATATCAGTTTCGAATAATTTACCAAATAAATGATAAATTATACATAAAGTAATATATGATGTTTCGAACAATTTAACAAGTATTTGGAATATCCACCACATTACGTTATTTAAAGTGACAAGGGTATAGCTGTTAATGTTTATATGAAACGTGAAATTGCCACGGGAACATTCAAATGCGACGAAACAAATATATGTTCAATTTGAATGTTCGCCATCCACCACATTTTCAAGCGACATCCTCTGTAGATTGTAAAACAACTAACGGACAATTCTAACCATAGTAATAATAATGATAATAATTATTATTATAATTATAATATTAAATCGTCCAAATAAATTTAACACAAATAAAATAGGCATTTGAATTTAATCGGTTTTAATTTTAAACGACAATGTATTCGTTGTAATATCATCCGATACCATTTTACCGTGATACTCGTGTGTTATTCGATTGCATTTTTTGTACTATGAATAACATTGAACTGCGAAAAAATTCATCCTTGTCCATAATATTATGGTTATTTTTTTAAATTGAAATAAAATAACGTACAGTATACGTATGAAATATTTAGTATTTACGCATGTAAATGGGAATAATATTATTTATGCAACAAAACGCATAAATCACTGGAAAAATATAGTAAAGTATATTATAATAATATGTTAGTTGTTACCGATATTTATAAGACCGTATAATACATTTATAAATACATTTTTTCCTACGGCTAAGTGCGCATGATTTCGGGATAATTATTGGTTGTTATTATTGGCTTGAACGGTTGTACGAGATTGACTTTTTGACTACAATTCGCCTTATACGTATATCCGCCCCTCACACAACCACCATACACATCAGAGGAAGTAAATAACAACAATATTATTATAGACGATCCTACACGAGGCGCGCAGTGCCAAACAAACTTTTAGGTTTACCCGAAACAAAGTCTTTCGATTATCGTGCCGCCCCGTGCATAGACCGTGTTGGACAAACTCGAACGACTCTACGAGTCTTTTCTTCAGGGCGTTTGTCCGTTCATTTAACCCACCCAATCGCCACCGTATACATCGCATTTTCGGCAGTAAATCTGTTTGCAACGCCAACTGATTAAATCGGCGCTAACAACAATTAATATCGTAGTAGTAGTAGAAGTGGTAGCAGTAATAGTAGTAGAAGTAGCATGTCAGACGGTGTAGGGAGAAAAAACGGTTTATCAATTCGCCCGAAGAGATGAGCTCGGAGGCGGTAATTTCGGAAGAGTCGAAGATTTCCAATCGTTTGGCATCGGTTACAAATTTACAATAGAACGCGGCCGCGTATCGGTCGCGTATTTCATAGTGTAGCGCATTTCGTATATATTATATATATATGTATTGTGCATGGCTGCGGTGGTCGTTTGATTAATGCACGCGGGATCTAGACTGGCTGTATGCGAAAACGGGACTTCAGTGCGATGACTGGTGGGTGGAAACAAGGAGGACGCGCAAAACAAAAGCCACAAGAGATAATGGGAAGCTCGAGAATAGAAGTTGCCGAATTGTTTATATCGCTGTGCGTGAGGTGGATATACGACACGAGAGAGGTGTGGCTGTATATAAAGGCCCCCCGAGCCCTATTTATATACGTACATATTATGTATACACACACGCATATATATATATATATATATATATATATAAAGCTACGGGTATAGCTAAGCTCACTGTTGTAGCTGCGTATATAATATATATATATATATTTATAAATGTTTTCTTGCCGGTTTCGAGACGGTAACCGTTGCCCCGCAGCGGCGGCACAGCGGGTAGGTACGAAGACGCCGCTTGAGATGTATACGTGACCGCGATGAGTGAAGGGGGTGAAAAAAACCCGGTGAAAGTTTTAACGGAGAAAATAATTAAAAGCTTAAGACCACCGCTGTCGACCACGCTCGCGGATCGAGCAGAAAATTGCCGGGCAAGGCAACCCGCGCCATCGTCTGTGGTATACGAAGTGTTAGAGGTGTATGGCGGATGTGGCAGAAAGGTGCCTTTGCCAGTGAGATAATCAGTGCAAAAAGTTTACGCTTAAAATTTAAGTTTACGTACACTGCACACGCACATACGCCAGTGGAGATAAAAGAAAATATCTAGTAAAGGTATATATGATATTTTTATCTGTCCACGTGGTGCCTTAAAGTGGCAAAGAACTAAATCGGATACAATTGCGAAAACAAAAATATAATTACTCAGTATTCTGAATATAATAAAATTACCGTTCTGCTAAAATTTTGTAAACCAGGATTATGCGTCAAGTTGTAAAACCCAGCGTTTCGACGGGTTTTGATGAGATCTCCGTCGAAAACAACCAAATCAATAGCCATTCACTCAATGTTGATAATAATATGATGACCAGGGAATTTATTTTATGAAAAATCAACATATATATTAAATGAGTTTGAACCACCAAAAAGATTTACACCGTGATAACTACGCTGTATCACGTGGTTATAAATAGCAATATTTTGATGTTTTTTTTTCTAAATAGTTATGTGTCCCATTGTTGTAATTATTGGATATACACCTAACAATTTTTTTTCAGATATTACCAGTTGTTATCGACTAAAAGTACTCGTATTATATGTTGACAACAGCGTATGGTTGTAGATATAACTCACACACACCATCCTGCAGACACTCACAAATATCGATAGATTTTGGTAAGAATTAGCAGGTAAAAATAATAATAATGATATAACAATGGTAAGTAATAAAATAAATGATTTTGACAATATCGTTTTGGTCGGGTTTCTTCGAACAGTTTGTTTATCACAACGGTAATTTAGAAATACTCTGTATAGGCAATATAATAACTGTTGCGTGAAAGTTTTGAAATTACGATGTCGATCGGACCGCGTTTCACCTCTAGCTTTTCTGAACTTCAATAACATTATAATTACTATTATTATCATTGTTATTATCTAATATGAAAGTTTAAAATCACTCGCAAATAATAAACACATCCGAACCCTATTTCCGTCTGACGGCTTTGCGATAATAATATTATATTTTCCTTTAACCGTACTAGTTTTGCGATCATGTGCGTGATAGGAAAAGACGAAAATATATAAATCGAAAAGTAATAATTACGATGCTTTTCGCTTACTCCTATGTTAACATTATTACTACAGTCATCGGCTCTTCCTATTGTTATTGTTTTAATACTTTATTGTATAATTGATGGTGATAATACTATCAATTTTATTCCCACTGCTCAAAATATTTAGTTAAGCATGGACGAACCAAAGTTACTTTACCACAATATTGCGTAACTAACAAAAACAAAACTCAAATTTATAATTTAGTAGATTGAATAATTTAGGAAGTATAAAATGAAATTCAAAATGAGATAACCACTGTATTATCCTGAGGGATTTTTGTTCTTTGAAAAGTTTTGTTTAACGAAGTCCACTCCAATTTTAGATACCTTTAATTATTGACAGAAATAAACGTTGAAATTCAAAAAAAAAAACAAGTTCAAGCTTAATATCATGGTTATTATATATATAAATATATATTTAATTAAATAATCGATTGTTTTGTTGAACAGATTAAATTATATCAAACGGCAATTTATTGCAGAAATTTCATAACTATTTATAATTTCGTATTACTCATAGAAATAAAATAAATACGCGCTGACATTTGAAATGTCTTTTCTTATGGCTCGTACGGTTTGAGCAAATACCATATCCAAAAACTCATTCTGCTGGCACTGTCACCATATAATGAGGTAAAATAGTTTGAGTTTATTATTTAACGTATCTACGTTTCTTTAAATATATAACTGTATGATATCTAAATACCGATGCTATAAGAACTTTAGGTAAGAATGTCGAACCGTAATTAGTGATAGTTTAAAACAAAATATTGCTGTTATAGTACAGAAAAAAAAAAACAAATAAATAAACAATTAATCAACATTGATGTTACAATAATAGAACACTCGAAGTCTTTGACGCACACATGACATGACAACCACCGGAAATCAAGTGTTGGCGCGTTTGATGGTTATAAATGATAAATATGTTACCATCCCATCATATATTATTGCATAGGTTCACCCTTCTTTAATTACTTACTATTCTAAAATATATTTTTTTATACGTTTTATAAAATTACATTAATAACTGTTGTCTACATATTACGACACAGTAAAAAACCATTATACACCTAAGATCCTAGTTTAGGTATTGTGTTTTTCTAACTATGATATATTTATTTTTAATATGGTATTTTTATTATAAAGCGAATTTAAATTACTATATTTACACTGTAAAACGTTTAGCTACTCACAGTGTACAGTGAGTGAAGACGCTGCGTTTACTTTCCCCTGGTGATTTTCTGCGTGACACACGTATTTTCCTTCGTCTTCCGGACTCACGTTGTCTAATCTCAAACTGCCGTCTTGCGTAATGTAAACGTGCTCGAACGTGTCCCTGTCTCCGGAAAGCTTTTCATTCCTGAAACATCCATCATATTTTATCGAATTAGAATCTTGAGATTATTTTTTGAATTTTTAAAACTATAATACTATAATACTATGAAAGCTTGTGAGAGAAAGATTAAAAATTGAACAGGATGGCGACTATTTTAAAGACAAATATATGTTTTATGCAACGATTTACTGCTTATTCTACTTGTTTAGTATAATGGTTGGAAAAAAATAGTTATGATTAGATAATTGAGATACAGGTAATATGTCAAACTTAGAGCTATTATATCTGTCAATTTTAAACACGCCAACCAACTATAAATAAGACTAAAAACTTATTATGGGATTTAAAGATATAAATTTAAGTTAATAAACTTAAAATAAAGTATAAAAAATATGATATCAAAACTTTATATGACAATAAATAAATAGTATATTATATTGTATTGGACGTGAATATATAGATGTATTATATTTATATATTATTATTTGACTATAAATGCATACAATATGTTATCGAAAATATGTAAAAGTTACGACACAGATAATATATGCATAATAAATTAATACGTATCATATTATTTTTGACAGTATGTTAATTATCTAAAATATTGACGCTGAGTCAACAGCGTGGGTCCTATAAATAATAAATTTGCTTTATTGTTATACAAAAATAAAATAACAAATCAATGGGGCGTCCTTAAAAAAAAAAAAAAACAGTAAGTATGATAAAAACCTCGTTTAACAGATCAAATTCCTGAGAATAAATTATTCATTAAAACCACATATCGAATAAGACTTTCACGTTTTACATTACTCGCCAGTATCGATATAAACTTTTTTAGGTTTCAAACATTGCTTATTGGATTATTATTTTTTTTTTAAATCTATCGTATTAGTTAAAAACCAATGATTTAATTTAAAATATCAATTCAAAAATTTTTTTGTGAACTTTATAGTTTAAAATATATTGGTGAATGGATTTTCTTTTAAAATTTAACAAATTAACCTCTTTTTGAAAAGAGTATTCACATTTTATAGAAAAAAATAGATAATCAATAATTATTATCTAAATATCAAAAAACTTTTAAAATTATATTAATTACCTATAATGACTAGTCCTTATATGTTGTGCGACACCGCTGTTTGATATTTTTTTCCAGAACACTTCTGGTTGTGGTGTCCCGCCAATCTTACATTGCAACTGTACACTGGAACCAGCCATTGCTATAGTATCCTTCGGAGCTTGTATCATATAGGGACGTACTATTTAAATACATGAATACAGAATAGTTAATAAATACGTTTAAAAATGAATGTCTAAGAATATCATTAAGCACTTACTCTGAGTTGCCAACAAAATCGGTTTAGATTTCCGGATTCCAGCTAAATTGCTAGCTACACATGTATAAGAACCATCATCTTCGGAGTTTACGTCTCGAATAATCAAATTTCCATTATTTTCAATGTACCATCTACAATATTAAAAAGTCATAAAATAATAATATTTTTTTAAAATAGAAAATATAAGTTTTAATTAATTTAAATTTACCGTTAAATTTAGAACTTTTTATATTTAAGGCAAGCCTAGATTACATTTATTTATTTATTTATTTATTTATAGTTCAATTTAATGTAATTGCCTTCCATAAATATTAAATAAACCAATTTAATTAAAATATTCTAGCACTTTCTTAGTGTGAATAGCATTTATACGTTTTCTATATTACAATTTAAATCGATATTTCCATAATGAATCCATTTACTTTTTTGGAATCCTATTTTGTAGTTAAGTACATTTTATTTTATACTTAAGATTTAAAATACGGTTTCGTAACTTTAATAGGCAATTGTTTTATTGTTTTTATTTAATTCAGTAAAATATTTCATTAGTGTTAAAATATTAATGTATAGATTAGAAATTAAATCTTTAACTGAATTGAAAGACTCAAAATTCAAACAACGGATATATTTCTACCATACAATTTTAGTATATTAATAAAAATAATTTTTAATTATAATAATATGACCTGTAAAAATTGTTCAGAAAAAAATAAAGGATATTTATAACAAAATTATAATATAAAGTTGTATTACAAGATCCAAATTAATATTAATGTTTACTTTTATAATATTAAATTAATTGTGTATGAAGGTTGATGTCTATTCTGTTGAATCCAATTGAATTTAGAAAAAAACAATAATAACTCTAATTGGTTAAAAAAATATTGGCACAATAATATTAATTGTCATTTACCTTTTTTTCTCGTCAGCCTCCATAGCTTGACCGTTTTTATGCCATGCCACAGATGGTTCAGGATGTCCTTTGGGCGGGTCACATTCCAGGACTGCTGTGTCACCGGACGCCGGATTCACATCCTTGGGCTGGATTCGAAAGTCTTGTTTTAGATCTGCGAAAATAACGATCGGTTGGTAAATTTAAGGCAAACTTTTCGGTAACCGACATTATGCGCGGAGGAGGAAAAAAAAAACAAAAATAAATATAAACAAAAATAATAACCGTAATAAGAAAAACAACGTTTTCAGCGTACGTGCGCTGCTTAATGCGCAAAAAACAGGTGCAAACGTTAATACTGGCGCGCCCAAGTCGTCACCCGCCCTCCCGACGCTGCAGCGTTGTCTACGGGGCTATAAAAGTTTAGTGCCGCTTTGTTGTTGGTAGCGGCGGTAGCGGTGGCGATGGCGCTGATGCAAATGAGACGAGGGGGTTTCGCCAAGTGCCTAATAAAACATGGTCCCCTCCCCCCTCCCCAACAACCGCCTGAAACTCCGGTGGGTCCGTTGAAATATTGTAGTGATCCAAAATGATCATTTTTTTTTTCTTCCCTCAGTCTCTTTAACCCCGTTACTTCCCCCTCCACTCCTGTACATAACGTCATTGCTCTTATTTAGCTTTTTCTCTCACACATACACATAAATATGTATATATTATACACTAGTTTACCACCACTAAGATGGTTAAAGAGGGGTTTTCTTGCCATGTGCTATGGGGGGCGTGGTTGCGATTTTCTTACGTCGTACCTAACCTACTCCTTACCTTATTCATCCGACTTTCTTACTACCTCACCACTACATACTATATACTTATACGTCACACTGCGCCCAGTGTGTATATATTATTATTATTATTATAAGAAGTGATGGTATGCGTGAGTGTCAGTTTGTCTGTGTGCGTTCGTGCAGACGTCGTAACTTTGTATGTGATGTTCGTGTGAGGGAGTAACTGGGATGGAGAACGGTGATGGGAGGGTAAGGGTTTTGACAACAAAAAAAAAGCTTTCTTCGACTTAACGATAATGAAGCGTACCGGAATAAAGCGCGTATAATATATTTATATATATATATATATATATATATATATAGTACTTTCTACACAATATCAACCCTGCCATGCCACGGCTACCCACTTTGAATATCTATAAGTTATGATTATCGCCACTCGTAGGCTTTACAACTTCGATGCATGCAAATGCCAAATTATCAACGTCGTCGAAGTACCTACCGATTTACGTACGACGACGGCGTGAGTATAAAATATATATTATTTTACAACGCCAAAGCCAGCTCGTTTGTTTTACGACAAGTTATTCTTTCCAAAACTCTTCAGTTGCAAGTTGCCTTAGTGGATCACTTAAATTTTACATCTTAAAGGGAACGATTTAATCTGTTTGAGAATAGCGGTGAGGTGACGGAGTTTTTTAACTTTATTCTCTGTAATCCAAACTTTCTAATAAAGTCACCACCACCAACAGTGTTTGCCGTAAATATTTGTGGTTTTTGATATGCGTACCATCATCTCTATATAACACAATATAGCTAAACAAAAGTTTTTTTTTAATTATTCTTTTGAAGATATTTTGAAATTCATGTAATTATTATTCATAATATTATCGTCGCATTAGATACTATGTTAAATTTACATCATTGAGTTTTTTTTTTTTTTAAATCATCTACCAAGTCTATTACGAAATGTAATTATAATCCAACATTCAACACATACGTCAATTATTTATTAATGCATATTTTCTAGTGATGGGCAACGATATCGATAATTCGATACGATATCGATATCGTGACAAATTATCGACATCGATATTATTTTGTATTGTACGATAAATCGTTATATCGAAAATAATATTTTTCAAGAAAAATACATGGTATTTACTATTTAGTATTTACTATTTGTAGGTTTTAAGCTATAATAAATAATAATAGGTGTCAGCTGATAACGTTTGGTGTACACTACGCGTGTTCCAGTGAAATGTCAATTATTGTACACTATTAATAATCCATTATAATGTTATCTAAAAAGGAAACAGGTTTTTTTTATATTGCCAACAATGTTATAACTTTTATTGAATATTATATTTAGCTGGCTTTTAAGAGGAATACGGTATAGTACCACACTACCACTGGATATTCCATAATTCACAGTGTAATTTGTGTCGTCGGTGTGATGTAAACGTCCGTTATTTTTCGAACATTTCTAACATCGTATAGTGATTACTGATTAATAATCAAATTATTACGAAAAGTTTTTTTTTTAATTGTTTAGGTAAACATAAAATTATATTTTCGATACGATATCGATATCGTACAAATAACGATATCGCGATAAAATATCGGAAAAATCTGAACGATATCGATACACAAAATTATATCGTTGCCCAACACTAATATTTTCTAAAGAATACATTATTAAATACAAAAGTAGATTCGATATGTACGGCAAAAAAAAAAAAAAAATTTGTTTTAATATTTCTATAAAATACATATTTTTTCACAGTCTTATGTTTTATTAAAATCTTGTGAATTAAATATTTTAACAAGACTATTGAACGGATTGTCAATAATAATAGTAGTTTTTCTGTATCGAGTACGCCAAATACGAGTTAAGTCTATTGTTAAAATATTATTATCGAAAAAAAAAAAAAACGATATCCCGTTTTATTGTTTCAATAACGACGATACTATCAGCGGTCATGCCGTTATTTAATTTCGTTTATACGTTTTATCTAAAATCGTATTTTTTCAGGTCATTGCGATTATGTTATTACACTACAAAAATACAACGACTCAGGATTCGGACAACTAACGCAGGAAAAACGAGCGTTACGAGGCGCGACAATGAGACAAGTTCATGAGTGTTTACACGAGCAGTTGCAACTATAGCACCGCTACCGTACAGTGTACAAGGCCAATATAAATTCTCAGTCCTTCAAACGGACGTCGTCGTATTTTTAATTTTCTTCTCTACGAGTAATAAACCCTGCCCGTCACACAACGGGCTATGGGTAGGTGCGTCTTGTATATTATATAACATTATGTGTCCAACCCGAAAGCGGCAACGGTTTGGGGATTCCAGTAGTCGGCGTCATGTGAGTTCGTGTGCGTAACGCTGTTTTTCAATTTTGACAAAGTAAGACAGATCTAGTAGCTGTAACTGTATAGTAGAACCTGCCGCGCGCACACACGATACATACGAGCGTACGAATAATAGGCACGTATAGAACGCCGCTATACGTTGCTGCTACAATATCCGCAGTCTAGTTAATTTGTTAAAACGCGGTCGTCCCCGGTGAAATGTAAGCGCGGTGGAATTACACGCGTTCCCGACGGACGCTAATTGATGGATGTTTGCCTCGTATTCGACTCGAGTTTTATGTTTCGCGCTCTTACGCACACACGCACACACACATTACACACACTACACATGTACAATGTACATACACACACACACGCACACAAACAAACAAACACACATAAACATACACAAGCGCACACATACTACAGATACGACACACACACACATCCGGGCACTGGCTGCTGTCACCGCCGCGGACTTCCTCCCGTGCCGTGCCGTCAAGACGGATGGGTAATCGATTTTCGACTGAAAAACTCGCGCCGCCGCTCGTCCGAAGTCCGTCGCTACCACTAACGTCGTTGTGTACATACGCCGCAGTGTGCTCATACGCGTGACAGATGACGTGCGATGAAAGGTGGCACGAGAAAATGTATCTCTTCTCCCCGCGACTAATGCGAAAACTTTTCGAGCCCGCCGTGTACGATTTCCTCGTCGTTAATAAATACTTCCGGGACGTAGTCATCCCATTTTAACCGCATACCGATAGCACGTCATGAGCCCCGAGGAGTGCACTTCACCCCCACACACTTCTAGATCGTACCGGTTTAACGACACCGCGACCATAATAATTTCGCTGATCAACAATCCGCACACCACCTGGATGCACACGTTCAGCACGTTACTAACAATATAATTATAATATAATATTTCAGAGTGTTTGAAGTCTGACGACGACGACGACGGCGAACGATGTGATGTCTCACTCATGATTTGTTTCAAAATCATATATTTATATGTATGGTTTCACTTTATGCGTACTATGCGTTACCACTCGTTTCAAATTTACTATCGTACCTATACGGTCGAAAGATTTATATACTTTTCTGAGTACACATAAAATGTTTATTATCAATAAAAATTAATACACTTTCGCCGTCAAAATGCGCACGTTATGACATCAAAAACGATAATATAATGATATCGGTATATTATTATGATGTAGTGTTTAAGCTGAAATAGCTGTAAGCAATGACGTTGCGTTAATGTACTCTGACTATAAATATTTTAAATATAAATAAAAATGAATAGATTCTAAGTCTGAAGTATCGACGACATCGGTTTGGATTTAGAAATCGCCCCGGTTCATATTGTATGACGTGGCTAGACGAGTCGAATCATGCGTTAAGCAGTAAATTTACAGGGATTATTATCACGGAATAATTATTTATTACAACGGTTGTGCCACTGTCGAGTAGATATTGAAGTGATTATAAATAACCAATGAAAAAAGGTTTTGAAGTTAATAGTAGGCATTGAGATGATAAAGTTCGGTACAAAAAATTTTCATACCATTATCCAAACAACAATATGTATAATAATTAATAATAATATTAATATAATCTTATAGGTATTATTATGATACCATTAAAAAAACAAATCACGACGTAGCTAAATTGCCTATGCAAGACGCCGTTTTACTAAAATAATTAAAGGGTCTAAATAAATTTAAAATATATTAATATAATAAAAATGACTAATAAGTCATTACGAAATGGATAAAAATACTGTATATTCTAGCACAAACATCGATAAATACTATTTTAAAATAGTGAATATAATATTTCTGTGTACAAGAATAATGCGTGTATTTAATTATTTAAGATTCATATGAAAATAAAATATAGCTGGTAATGTATACTATACACTATACAGTATTGATTATATCGTAAATTTGAAAATTTTGAGATTAAATGTTTAATAACTCAATAGATATGCAAAATAATACAAGGTATTGATTAAAATTGA